ATGAAAGCATGGTATAAAGATAGCTGCAGGGCAATGTTTCAACAATTAAATATTTTACCACTTCAATGCATGTATTTTATGTGATATGTGTGTTTTTTATCAATTTCTACCCACAATACTGGAAGAAATGTAGCGAATTGAATCAGAGGCAAACTAGAGCAAGAATTATGAGTAAATTATTCCAACCTCAATGCCATAAAATATTTACTGGATAAATGTATTAAATACGTATGACTTTCTTTATAATTATTAGTTCTACAATATAAAATTATTGTTCGAGCGAGCTTTTAATTTTTAGTTAATTTAACCAAATGGCGATTGGCATATCGAATTTATAGTGTCAAAGAATTTATTCAATTTACTAATTCAATGTATTGCCTATAATACGTATGCCGGAAATTCCAATGAAGTATTTATTTAAATTTGTTTATTGATTATTACTTTATTTATGAATTGGAATAACATAACAAAATATTATACAAAAAATTGCACGCAGCAGGCTGCAGGCTGAATACACTGTACATTATATTTAACATTGTATTCTGCAAATGAATGATTTCTTGATTTGGTTTATAAATAATATTATTAGTAGACCCGCGAATTTCGTCTAGCCACACTGTTGTCTGTGTCACATTTTCCCCGATCCAACGCTAAAAGAATTTTCCATACCGGATCTCTACTTTTTTTTAGAATAGCCTCCTGCTATTGACACTGATCTCCAAATTGCGCGACTGCCGCTGCAACTTCCTCTGTTGTCCCAGTCGTCATGGTTCATTACGTGTTTTTCCTGTTGTTTTAACAAGCTTAACCACCTTCGCCACGGTCTTTGGGATGAATGCCTAGAGTTTCGATGCCAAAGTATGGTATTTTCACAGTCAGTTGTTACCACAGTCGCAGAGTGGAGCGGCTTTAAGTGTGACGTAACTGATTTAGTTGGTTTCGACGAGCTCGACTTAGCTCCCTGGCGGCTTGTTGTTGTCGCCGTCTGTCCTTTTGTTGCCTTCTCCAACTTAGTTCGCTTTCCATTGCCAAAGTGCCCACCTTCTATTGGTTGTGATGGCTTTGTTTCCGGGGAAAACTTCTTTGCACTGTTTGGTAGGCCGTTTCGGCCGTGTCTTGGGGTTCAGGTTTTTACCGCCATTAGCCTGAGGTGCTGATCTCTATGCGTCTGTTCTTGTGCCACCTGCTATAGCTTGGGGAACGGAATCCTTCGGCCGAAAACCGGTGAGCTGAGATGAGATGACCTTCGATACTCGTAAGTCGATCATCCATAATATTTCCCATACGCCTTCAGACAAGTTTCGCCTTCACGGTTTTGAACATTCAGAGAGTCCCAGAGGGGCTGCCAGAATTCGGGACTGTCTCAGTTTTAGTTGGCGGTACTTCGGTTACAGTCGCCCGGCTGTAGCTTGCGTCGTGGCACCTCCAGTGGAATGCCAATTCTGCATCGAGACACGCAAATTTCTGTCTGAAGCGATTTTTGCTTTTGCTTGTGTCATCTTCTGGAGACGGGAGTATGCGGTTCGTAATTGTGCACACTCGACCAGTTCGACCGCAACTAGACAACTCCACCGCCCTATAAATTGAGGCAAGGGATTTCGTTGCCTCAATTTGTTTATTGACGTCCTTTACGTCCGTGTTTTTTAAAATGGGCGATTTCCGGATAGCAACAGCACAGCGACTGGCCTCTCTCTCAATTTCCAGGTCGGAAAACTTACCCTTACCGTACGGGCTAATTCTCTAACTTCGATCGCAACTATTTATACGATATGTTTCATATGTAACGTAGTGAAAATGACATCATTTGTCAATAATGCGATTCTAGTGACCCCATTTGACGGTGTCAACTAGCATTGCAACGTAAACGCAACTTTACATATCGATAAAAATATTTCTATCGAATGTCGATTCAGTAACCTAGTTGCAATCACGGAATCGCTATTTTGCCGAAAAAACGGTTTTTAGAGTAAGAGAAACAATTTAGGAGTTGTTTCTTTTGGTTAAAATCTTTGAAATATCAGCATTATTTATCTTGTTTTGGTAATTTTCAATATTACATATATTTTTTATAGGGTTTTAAATTTGGAAAATTGTCACGACTCACGACACCACATCAGTGTTGCCAATTCGGTATTTGGTTTTTGTTCAAAATCACATTGAAGAACAAATATTATTAAAAAAAAGTTCTATCAACTAAACATTTAATATGAAATAAGGGTTTGTTTATAATATTAATATAATTAAAAAACTTTGACTATTTTAATGCTCAACGGAATACGAAACGTGTATGGTGCTCGGTGATTTGTTTAAAATAAATTGATTAATTATAATAATAATCTTTATTTAATTCAGGAGGATCGTTACAACATTATTTATCGCATTGTTAAAATTGAAGTGAAATATATTGCATCTTAACTTCAACAGAAACGATTTCATATAGTGTTACGTAATTAGCACAGTGGTCAACATTTTTAGAGACTGGAATTGAGCGCCTTTCCCAGTCCGACTATATGTGTCTCCGTTCTTATAACGCTTTTTATGCCTGCGTACAGAATGACAAATTCAAGTTTCCAAAAATTTTCCTATCTGTTATAAAAATCTGTCATCTTCCTTTGCGCACCGCTTAAGTGGTTGTTTTAAATTTACCACCCTATTCCTTTTTTAAATAGTCAGTTAAATAATGAGTAGTTCTTCTCTTATAGGGTGCAAGTTCAAAGTCATATTTAAAATACGTGACATTGTTCTTTAAGCTATCTTCATCTCGCGAGATAGAATCTTGACGGGATTTCTTCAAATTTTTTCAGACAAATTCATACGAATACTGCCTATTCGTATGAATTTTTTTTTAGTATGCAACTAATAAGTATTGTACTATGTATAATCCTGATTAAATGCGCGAACTGTTAATGGCACTTGCCAAAACACTTTAGTACATTTACAAATAGTCTTCATTTTAGAAAACTTGAACAATTCTGTCATTATTTTTTACTGTGGTTCTAGAAATGTTATTTAGGGTTACTGTTCCAAAATACAAATTAATAAAAACAATAAAAATTAACCACAATAACCGAAAAATGGTTACAGTTTGACCAAATTTCTAGATTGTTCTTAAATGTCCATAATTTTAATACTGTGTGGGTTAGATTTTTTACTGATTTTTCTCATGATGGTTACAATCAATTGTATCACCCCGTTTCGGATTGACGTTGAGTTCTTGTACATTCTGTATACCAAATAGTCATAGAACTATAGAGTAAAATAGAAAAACGTAAGGGATAAAGAACAGAAGACGTTACAAATACAAGTAAAGATCCCGTAATTTACGTTTAAAAAAACTATTCGTATTGGTTGTGATATCAATATGTAAGACATTTACAAACTAATATCCTGAACGGCGAAAGATTAGTGGTCGAAATCGGACAAATGAAAATATTGGAACATACGCTTTAAATCACTAAACTTTTCAAGTAGTAAAATTAGACTTTAGAATGGTTTCTGTATTAGTAATACGAATTACTTTAGGACTTGGTTTATTCCTAGTATTCATACGAGGAATAAACCAAGAAAGCTAAAAGTCAGGTTAAGCTTTTTGTAATAAGACCTTTGAGAGTTTAAAAAGATTTTTTTTGTTGTTTAGTGTAATCAACGGATGATCCAAATAGTTACAGTTTAGAAGGTAAAAGGGAACACACATATACGTATAATCTATATTGAAGTATGTTCATTTGTCTCCTATGTTTATAGTTTTGTAAATGTTACATACGAATAGTAATGGAAAGAATATCAGTGAAATTATAATCCGCCTTTTCTTCGTCGGTGTCGAATAAAAACATTCGTTCCCTTAAGTTCCTATTAACCACACCAAGGATTTTGGAAAATCGACTACACGTAAAGTTCTTAAACATTGGGCACGCATTTACGCGACCTCCAGCACTGCATGCCGGGGGAATGGAATTGTTAATAATGTGGATTATAAAACCCATTGCTAGCAATGTACTTGTTAGGTTGACCTCCACGCGCATTTCCCTGGAAACAATCGTGATAACTTCCTGGTGAACTTGTCATGATGGGTTAACTGACCTGACTTCATATTCATCTTATCATCCTCAACTGGTGTACGTCCAGTGTATATCATACGCGCTGCTGCGCCATTATCATTAATAAAAAAACTGCATGTCTCCAGATATCTATAACAGCATATATAATTAAATTTATATATATGTATATATATGCCGTTATATAATATGACGTTGTCGAAAAAAATATTAACAAGAGCTAATATTATAAAATTTTGTGACAATAAACTACAAAATTCCCTACTAGCGATAACAAAAGTTCAAAAAATGCATTAGATAGGTATAGGATTAGTTACTCAACATAAAGTTTTGTTTTATAAATCTTTTTTTTATTATTAATTCGGATGTTTGTTACTCTTTGACGCTGCAACTACTGAACGGAGTTTGATGTAACTTTACAGTAATATAGCTTATGCATTAGAATAATATATATTTTATATCGAAATTTATATATTGATGTTTAACGCGGATGAAATAGCGGGCATAGCTAGTATAACATAGAAATCAAAATCTCATAACTAATGATAGTTTCTGGGTTCTGAAAATAGCAATTTGCAAACTTATTTCTTATGTTGCTTAGTCCATACATAAGAAGTTCTAATTAAAATATAAATGGTATTTACTACAAATATTATTAGAATGGAATGTCAAGTTTATTTATTGAGCGGAGCGTGAATCTAGAGGTCAAATTTGCACTCTTTGTAACGTTACTGCTCCGAAACGGTTTGACCGATCGAGACCATATTTAAGCGAAGATTGACTTCACGCCTCCATCATTTACCACTAAAAAAAAATCCGATTGGTCAAGGTCGAGTTTTCAAGAATAAACATGCTCCGCTCTACATGTGACCTGGTCTGTAAACAACACACCGGTAACAAACCTAGTATATATACCTAGTTATTTATAAAATATTTTGTTCACAGTGGCGGTGAGGAAAGTACAGGCAACACGTGTCCAATCGCTGCGACGGCGGCGGCTCCTGCCAACTGGCGAGGTACCAACGACAGCGCTTCTGACTACTGTCGGCGGGGAAACACGCCCGCAGCATACGGCAGGTACCAGAGAAACAACAACTCTAACCCGCCGTATGCGACACCACCACCTTCCAACGTAGATAGGTAGGTTAGACATACACTTTAACCCTAGGTACAAAAGTGTCTGCTATATGCACATTCATTAATAATGCAAAACCAAGATCTAATTGATATATAAAACAGACATTTAAAATTTACCAATTAACTTATATATAGAATCAGGAGATCGAAGAACTCATCACAGCTATCAGAAATATCAGTAAAGTAAAAAGAAATGTTCCTGTGGTTATTAAATAATAGGTATTAAAAAAAAAGGTTATGAAATCAATATCCTGTACCCAATGATTATTTGAACCTATTGTAACTTGCTGGGTTTTAGTTTTTGAAATATAGCCCTTGAGTAATGTTTCTATAAATTGTAGCCTTAAATTTAAAGTCACTTTGGTCAATGGTTTATTACTGGTGCTAAACCAGGTTTATCTTTTTGTAATAAGGCAGACAAAGTTTAACAATTGACGATGTATATGAAAGAAATATGTATAGAAAATAACATTATTATGAATTCAGTTTTAAAAGCAAGGCTATATTCCAAAAATGTAGCCGAGTGAACTTACAATTTGTAGCAACAAGGTTGAAATGATGATCACATAGGTAATTGTTTTTTAGTTTTTTTTAAATAGAATAGAATAGAAAATAATTTATTGAAATCAACTTAATTTAAGCACTTTTGAATAGTAATAACAATTTCTTTAAACCGCTCATTCGGAAAGCTATCTCATCACAAGAAAAACGAGCTTGATTGTAGACAAGAAGAAAGAACTTGTTGCTCTTTAAATAATCCTTGTAAGTTCACATTTTACGAGTCAAAACGTGTGAATACAAACTACCAACCAGCACTAATTTATTAGATTCAAATATAAAAACACAATAAGATTAAATCAGTCGTAGTGATAGAGCAGACCACTCCCTGACAAGCAGCACTTGTTCACAAGTATGATAAATACCTATAGTTTCATAACCTCAGGGTGAAGATTTGTTTATTTTTCTGATAGCATCTACTTTTGGTTTATTGTTGTCTTTATCTTGTCACCTGTAAAAATTCTCCTGCCTCAAAGTTCGTAATAAAACTCTTCCGAAATAGCTTGGCTCGATTCTTAAGCTTTTTTCTTTGTGTATATTTACTAGGATAAGACTAACTACTTTTCATACCCCGAAGTCCACCCTAATCGTGGTAAACACTTTCTTTATTTTATGCTCAAACTTTTTATTTTACTTTTTCGTGATTCGGAATTAAAAAATACATTTACAAGCCAAATTTTCACCTTTCTACCATCAACTGCTAAAAAAATAAAAACATTAGAAAATAAATCTATTTTAATAAAATTATTTTAAGAATTATAAACAAATTGCACACTAAATTAAACTTATGTACATATTTTTTCAGAATGATATTTTTAACATTTTTAAAATCATAAATAAACAGACAAACAATAATTACTATTGACAATGTATTGGGTTTAATTTATACAGTGGTGGTTTAACATACTGCCTTATTCTCTAATCGTACCGTGTAATCAAACAGTGATTACCACATAATACAAATATTTGAATCCTTGGTAGGGTCTAAGTATGATATATTAATACATTTCTTTCAATATATATAAGTTTTGCATAATTTGACACAAGCAATCGTTTGTGCATGCATTCCATTCATATATCAAACAAATCTCACAATCAATTAAAGTTTCGTTGAAAGTAATCCAATGGTCGGCTTACGCTTTAAAATGTGCAATAAATATTCAACAGGGTTAAGTTCGGAGTCTGAAGAGGCCTACTTAGAAACTCTATTCAATTTTTCTCAAACCGACTCATAGTGGTTCTGAACTCAGGCATGCGGGCATAATCCTCTTGGAAACGGGAATATGCCACATACCATAATATAACGAGACGGGAAATCGACATTCGTATCACCGATCCTCATATCCAATGAAATACCTGTATTACCTGAATACCTGAAATTTAATAAAATAATAATATATTTGAAAACATGTCTATTATTGAACTATTTACTTCTATATATTACATCTCAAACGTATTTTCGCTTTAAATAATGCTCGGTATAATCAGCGTCTCGTTTAGCCCAGCAGCCAAATTAGAAAATGTTAGAAGTTTTTCAAAGAAGTTGGCATTAACTTGTCTTCTCTTGCTATGTATTGGTATTTCTTGAATAACTAATAAACTGATTTTTAATCGTTCTTCGTTAATTCTTTTTACGTTATTACGTATGTATTTATATTATTACGTATGTATTACGGTTTTACGTTTTACTTTTTACGTAATTTCTTAATTCCCGACTCTAAGGGTTTTTATTCAGTTTTTTTATGAATTGCCTACGTAAACAACAATGAAATTAATACCCTATCAGGTAAGTAGAAGTTTCCTAAAATTCTACTTACCTGATAGGGTAATTCTACTAACAATAGAGGTGATATGAGTCACCTCTATTGTTTATAGTTTTATGACATGGTGCGTTTTTTATTTGGCTTATTGTACCCTTATATGTGTACTATGCGACAATAGACCCAGGTAATTTCTCAAGTTCTTTAGGATGGTAAATACTTTTGGCCAGGGCTGTATATATAATATATGTATAAATTTTATGACAAATATTCTAATAGAAGGTTAGATAAATTTGTTCTAATGGGAGTTTATATAAATTTGGATAAATTCTGTAAAATTCAAATTTGGTATTTCTAATGTGGGAGGGTGAATATCAACCATCGTCACCAGGTTTACTTGTATAAGCCCGCCACTTGTTACATTTTACGTAGACATTTTGTGTAAACGGATAGTACTCCAAAGCATATTGAAAAACCTATTGCTCGAAAGAAAAGTGAATTGCCGTATCCCAATGTAGTGCCGCATACGTGTTTATTTATTTTCTAGTCGTCGAAAGTTTATTTATTTAAAATCCATATAAGGAATAGTAAATATTCGAATTCCGTACCGTAGAAACGCATGCAGACCGCGCACCGGATTTGATGCGTTAATCGAAATGCTATTTTGGATAGTAGTGTACAAAATTTCGCACCACAACGCGGTGCGCTCTATTGTGTGTTTTGTGAGGCTATTCATATCAAACGAATGTAATAACTATTTTGTTAGTAACGTGCGCCGCTGTTTGGCGCCGTAAATAGTTTATATTCACCACAACGCATGTATCGAGATCCTATCTATACACTCTGATACCTATACACAAAATCGACAGTGAAATGGAATTAAAAATAAATTTGTCATTTAATCAATTATATCAATATACAATACTTATCGCAGTATCAATTACTAGATATCAGATTATGTGTAATACCTCAAATTACTGCTAGCGTCACGACAAGCTTTTCATATTTCGAATCCTAGTAAACGTGAACTGCATGTCTGAGGAGCAGGACCTTTTAAATCAATTTAATTTTTCGTTGTTAAAAATTGACCTATAAACTTTTAAGTTCATTACATTTCTTATCTTGGAAAACTATTTAAATAGGTTACTACTCACTAACTTATAACCCAGTCATCCTAGTAAGTTACTTTGGAATTTTATATAACCCCTTTATTTAGAAAATTAAAATGTTTTGATCCGGTAGTCTCGGTAAAAATACGTCATGTAAAGTTTGTTAATTTTTAATAGACACAATTATTAAAAACTTAAAATATTATTAAAACTTATCGTTCCACACAGACGGCCTTAGTGGTCTAGCGGTTTAGCACATATTTCTTCCGATGGTCGCGGATTTGATTCCTCGCACGGTACAAACATTTGTGTTCATGAGTATAATTGTTTGTATCGATCTGGATATTTATATTATGTATGAATTTAAAAAAATATCCCCACGGTTGCCACATTGGAAGTAAAGCGGTGTGCTAAAACCGCTGAACCACCGTGAAATACTAATAAGATTTGTATTCCATTATATATATATCCATTCCACAAGTAATTTTTGAACCGGGCAGTTTTATTCCAAGTGCCGTTATTCCAAATTCTGCAGATTCTCAAATGCTTGTAAAAACGTATTTTTTTCCTTTTTTTAAGGCATAATTATAATTATTAGGATTATGCAAGAAATTTCGTGTTTAAGGATTTATTTAAGATGTACTTCATTCTTACATATTTAAAATGTGATTAGTAGAATTGAGAATATAAAGAATATCTCTTAAATATTGTCTCTTTGTGTTTTAGGAATCGGTTATATCTAAGTGTTGTTAAATATCTATTTACGAGTATCTATATAGATATTTAATTAATTAAAATAAAAGGAATAATAATAATATTATCCTTACTAATATTATAAATGCGAAAGTAACTCTGTCTGTCTGTCTGTCTCGCTTTCACGCAAACTACTGAACCGATTTAAATGAAATTTAGTACGCAGATAGTCTAGACGCCGAGGAAGGATATAGGTAAAAACGTAAGTAGGTAAAAGGTATATAGGTTACTTTTTAATGCGAAAAAAGGGTTGTAAGGGGTTCAAAATGGAAATACAAGGTTATCTTTATGCGGTGGAATAAATCGCACACTTATTCGTCATCTTTTCATTTCAGTAGCTAATAACCAATCAACACATCGCGTGCGTTTGCGCCATTCGCCATCTTTTCATTTCACTAGCTAACAACCAATCAACACATCGCGTGCGTTTGCGCCAATAAGGTATCCATTACAGAGAACAAAACCACAGATAACATAATGTAAAACGAAAGATCTTGCCGGAAACATGACGTTGACGTTTAGCGAAAATATTGTTTTTTGACACTTTTTTATGATAAAATCGTATATCGTGTGTATGTGTTTTTTCTTTAAACCTGAAATTGGCCGATTGCGAGACAAATTTGGCAATTTTTTTTATTAATTTGTTATATTTTAGCCCAACATAAAGTTTTACAATATAAATTACAAAAATTAAAGTCAATGTCCAATGTCAAATAATAATAAATGTCAAATGTTGTTTCTCTGTTCTGACGAACTTATTAAAAAAAAAACTTAATAACAATCACAATTTCTTCACATTCTATTATTTACATTTTTTAAATAAGGTTGTGGTGTGGCATTATCCGAAATTAAATTATTTACCCATTTTTGTAAGTTATACAGAAATAATGTGTGGGTGTTTATTTAAAAAACATTAACGCTAAATTAATAAAGTATATGTATTAATAAATATATGGTTGTTGTATCGAAATAGAATTTTTTTATTTTTCACTAAAATAAAAACTAACTGCCTTTTTTATAGTTTAAATGACCATTTCATTGTGTCATATATTATGAAACTATTTAAATTATTTAGCTGATTGATTGTAAGAAACAAAATGTTGGTTTGTAGATTAATACTGTAAAATTACTATTTGTACGGAAACGACAAAAATATATTTTTGTGCTGCGTCAAAAATCCTTACTTCCTTACTAATATTATAAATGCGAAAGTAACTCTGTCTGTCTGTCTGTCTCGCTTTCATGCCAAAACTATTGAACCGATTTGAATGAAATTTGGTATACAGATAGTCTAGACCCTGAGAACGGACATAGGCTATTTTTTAATGCGAAAAAAGGGTTGTTAGGGGTTAAGGGGGGAAGAAAGATTGTATGGAAGAGTCGTCATTTTTGAAGCTAGAAGCTTGAAACTTATTTTTGAGGCTGTTGATTAAATAATAATTTTTATATATTAAATAAATTAAATAAAAATGACATTCAATGTTTGTAAAAAAATACCCTTTAGGGTGGTAAAATAAAATAGGGGATGCAAGTTTTTATGTAAATTCGTCATTTTTGAACCTAGAAGTTTGAAACTTATTGTTGAGACTGTTGATTAAATATAAATACATATGACATTCATTGTTTGTAAAAAAATTACCCTTAAGGGGGTAAAATAAAATAAGGGATGTAAGTTTTTATGTAAATTCGTCATTTTTTAAGCTAGAGGCTTGAAACTTATTTCTGAGGCTGTTGATTAAATATAAATAAAAATGACATGGCATGCAAGTTTTTATGTAAATTCGTCATTTTTGAAGCTAGAAGCTTGAAACTTATTTTTGAGGCTGTTGATTAAATATAAATAAATATGACATTAATTTTTTATAAAAAAATTACCCTTAAGGGGATAAAATAAAATAGAGGATGATAGGTATTATGTAAATTCGTAATTTTTGAAACTAGAACGATGAAACTATTTTCATTGGTTCTTTTGGGGTAGATTTTTAAATACTTCACTAATATTATAGCTGTGAAGCTGTCAGTCTTACGCTCCAAATCAAAACAAAAATTTAAATGAAATTTGATACACAGTTAGTTTACACCCGGACAAAGAATATAGGGTACTTTTGAATGTGAAAAAAGGATTGTAAGAGGGTTGCAATGGTACGCTGTATGGAAGAATCGTCATTTTTTAAAACTAGAAGTTGAATTAGATATTTAAACAACAGCCTAAAAATTAGCCTCACATTTTTAGGCTGTTGTTTAAATATCAATAAATATGACATTCAATGTTTGTAAAATTTTTGTGTGTTTGTGGAAACTAGAACGATTAAACTTTTTTCTTTGTCTTTTTAAAGTTAGTTTATTAAATACCTTACTGATATATAAATGTGAAAGTAACTTTGTCTGTTGTCTCGCTTACACGCCAAAAATACTGAACCGATTTAAATTGAAATTTGAAACAGATATAGATAGACTAGATACTGAGAAAGGACATAGGTTATTTTTTAATGTGAAAAAGGTTTGCAAGAGGATTGAAAGGATAGATCCAAGGTTATATAGATCTATCGTCGTCTTTAAAGCTAGAAGCTTGAAATTTATTTTTTAGCCTATTGATTAAAAATTAAAATTTAGTTTTTATCTATTTTGAAGCTAAAACGATGAAACTTATTTATTTGACTTATATTGTGTTAATTGAGTTAAATATTTTTTCATTATTTACATAGACGAAGTCGCGGGTACAGCTAGTTAATATATAAAAATAAAATTATTAATAAATATTCGTTAAAAATTTTATTTCTGTATACCAATATCTATTATTAATTAATAAACTTTATATATTGAGGTAGGTTTACCTTAAATGATGTTCTAACCGCACTTACCCCACGCTGTATCTCCAAATCAATTCTACATACAAAAAATATATCAAAACAAAAGTTGTAGGGAATTTAATCCTCTACAATGTTATAATATCGTAACTTTACAGTCTAAAAATAATTCCTTCCTGTAGGTACCAAAATCCTCCTTGTCCAATCCTTAATCCTCCCCACCCTTGATTATGCTGATGTGTGCTGTTCTGACATGAACGTAGATCTTCTAATTAAATTGGAACGTCTTCTGAATAATTCTATCAGTTTTATCTATAATTTGCGTAAATTCGATAATATTTCTTCTTTTCGTTCTCAGCTTCGTCGTCGTAATATACATATGCTATGCACACTATATTCAATTCTATACGATCCTAATTATCCTGAATACATTAGTAGTAAATTTCATTTATATGGGGACAACATCAATCGCTCTCTACGGACTACCAGAAAAGTCTTCCTTCATATCCCGGCTCATTTGTAACTTTTTTTACTGTCCTTCTTTTTCCCTATAGTTCTATCTATATTTTTTTTAGATTCAATTTGAGGCTGTTCTTATAATTTGATTATCTGATCATTATGTATTTATTTATATATTTATGTTTATATTTATATATATATTTATGTATGTGTATAATTTTTTTTATAGATATTTATATTTAAAATATTTTGCTTTATATTTATACATCTTTTTTTTGACATTTATCATTTATATTAGTGCACCTCCAACAATCTTTCTCTGCACCACTCATGGTGGACTGGTAGATAACGCCGCAAGATATTAAGTCCGCCATCATGTACACATTGATTTTGTGCATTAAAGTTAAATAAATAAAATAATTAATACCTACAAATAGTAAAAAACCCATAGACAAAAAGTACAATCAAAGATTTTTGTTACCTTTGTATAGTCGCGTACACTCTATCATATATAGGTTTTGAGAAAACTTTTAGGATATCATGATTCCTTTCGTAGACATACGTATTTCACTGTCCAGCTGATACTTCCTGGTAGATACTGTATCCCGGGTGTGCGGTTGAGCACAAATATATGCGTTGTGCCAGAAAATATGTTTGTATGACTTGGGGGTGTCTGCTGTCGCCGCCTTCTTGGCCTAAATGAAAAGTTCTTTGGGTACGCGTAGATCAGGGTGTACTACACCGGTATCTATACATGTTTATACAGGACTCATAGCGGCGACAAGGCTACGACTCGTTATTTGAGCACTTTTAATTGATGTCTGATAAAGTTCTTGTGTAATAACTCTCCGCGAATTCAAGTACTTGAAGACTTAAACGTCACAACGAGTGGTTCCGTTCTCGACCACGCCGGGGCGACTGCTCACGAATTTGCCCTGGTGGTATAGTTTCTCACAGGTAGTTCATTCTCCAACGAGAATACCAGGCAATTCATTTCCAAACGGAGGAACCTAACTTTCCTAGACTAAGAACCTAAGCCTAAGATTTCCGATAGTTCGGTTTCAGATAAGCTTCTTCCCGCGTACACTTAGATTATGATGTATGAAAGTTTTTCTAGAAGACTGGTATATTAAGGTTTCTGAAGGGTCGGTAACCCACACATATCACTCCAGGCGTTCACAGGCTCTAGGGTAAATATAAAACGTGCTTGTCGAATGTGCTTGTAAAACCACCATCGTATATATAATATAAAAGTTAAAAATATTTTTTCATTACAATATTATAATAAAAAAAAATATCCTATGAAAAGCAAGGATAAATTAATAGCACCGTCTACATTTTGTACAACGACATATAGTGAGAATGAGATAACCTGTTAAAATAAATTCTTATCTAAATAAGAGCCGAAATTAACTTTATTACTTGCATAAGGTCTATTTTTATATTTAAAAATTAAATGTTTATGAGGGGTCCTGCTTCTCAAAACATCCTCGGAATCGCAGCTGACGTTTACTACGGTTCACAACTAATTGTGACCCATTTTAGAAGTTTTCGTCCGGGATGAATTTGATCTACATCTGTTGCTAGTTTATCGGCCAATGCTTATTGTCTCTTATTTTACACTTTGCTGCTACACTTATTCAATTGTAGAGATCAAAATATTTTATTGCTAAAACTATATTATGATATTTTTTATAAAACTGTACAATATATGTTTGTGAGCCTAGTAGTAGTAACTTTTAAGATTTCATCATTGTCAGACCGTATAAACCTAAATGCACCGCTTGTATACCTTCAGTTCTTAGTTAGTTAGAATAACTCAATTTACGTGAATAAGTAAATTGAGTTATTCTTTTGCGCACAATTTAGATTGATAATTCGCAAGTGTTTCTCCTCACTCTTCTACACTTGTAAGCTTTCTATACTTAGTAGGGTTAATCAAGAGTTTGAAGATAACATAAGGTCGAATGTTATATACTTGATTGTTTTGTTACAGATCAACTCCTCATCATCGATGGTACACGAGTGGTGACCGGGCCGGAAGTGGTACTGGAGGCGCGGGGGGCGCGACGGGTGGTGAAAGCACGCCAAGCACTCCGGGTGGCGGCACGGAGGGCGGTCGGCGGCGGCGCCATTCGGGCTCGGGCTCGTCGCGCTCCGAATCCTCCTCGCCCGAGCCCAGTGACACATCTCGCGCTTCCACTCCTGCCGCGCCGCCTCCATTATCTCATCACCCTAACCACCGCACGACCCCCGCACTACAATATCAGGTCTGTGTAATTAGTTTTACATTATTATTATTATATGTATTTCCTTCGTTCATTATTAGCATGGATTTTTCCAATTTTTGTGCGTTACGGCAATATACTCTGTTTCAATATAGCTCGAAGAACAGTTACAGAAACGAGTCATTAACACAACCATAGTTAGTTTAGTGATTTTTAATAGCAATGTGTTAAACATTCAACAAACAGGAATCGATTATTAAGTGCTGAATTATGTTATTATAATTACAATTGATCGCGCTGGTTATAATTGTTTTCATATTTAGAATTATTATTGACGGGAAGAACTATTGAAAATAATGTTAATTTTAATATTTATTTAGTTATCAATAATCATATATTTATTTAAAAGGGTTTTTTTATGATATTAACAATATCTATTGATGACATTATAGTTTCCGAACCTGTTGAATGGAACATGTTTAGGAATTGATTTGAGTTGCGTACTACCACAGAAAACGTTTTGATATTATGAAATGATTTGAAACACTAGTTTCGTGTCGCGTGTTGTTTTAGATATGGGAGTAATCAAATATATTTGTTTTACAGTGGGCATCAACAGCGAGTGGTAGACCTCTCGCAATTTGCGTACGAAATCTACCTACACGATCTACTGATACTTCGTTGAAAGATGGTCTTTACCACGAATATAAAAAGCACGGGAAAGTGATTTGGGTAAAAGTGGTCGGCCAGAATGCCGATCGGTATGCAGTTGTACGTTTTAAGAAGCCGTCCGATGTAGAAAAAGCACTCGAAGTTTCTCAAGATAAACTTTTTTTTGGATGCAAGATCTCAGTTGCGCCCCACCAAAGTTGCGATGAAGATGCCGATTCGGCTAAACCTTACGAGACTGATATTGATGAGTATCATCCAAAGGTTAGTGATTAATAATTAGAATGTGGTTAATTGGTGTATGTTACAGAAACATAGCGTAGTTTTTTTTTGGAGCTGTTGTAACGCTGTTGGCCGCAGCTGACCTTTACAGCTTATTCACCGAACGATAGGCGGCGAGTGCAGATGGTACTCCAAACCCGAACAACCCTTCTGGGTACTTCGTTGTTGTTGGCTTGGCATGTTCTCGCAAGGCATAGACGCGACCATGCCGTGACTTGCCGTGTGTGCAAAGCCTTAAACAATTAGACAAAATATTGATTGGAAAAAATATAAATAAAAATAGGTTCATAGTATTTGAACATTTTAATATTAGGATATTACATTCTGCAGTACTGTTCATGATTCTCTTTTGGTTTTCTATAGCGTCTTATTATAATTCATGTCATCTATTTTTTTCTCACTTTTAATACATACTTTTGTTCCTACAGGCGACAAGAACTTTATTTATCGGTAATTTGGAGAAGGAAGTAACGCAACAGCAGCTGAGAGATAAATTTAAGCATTTTGGCCGAATAATAGAGATCGATATTAAAAAAGGCAGTGGAGGGGGAGCTGGTTACGCGTTCTGCCAATACGCATCGATATCTAGCGTGGTGGAAGCTATCCGTTCAATGGACGGGGAATATGTCGGCGGTTCACGAGTGAAATTAGGTTTTGGAAAGCCCGTGGCCACCACTTGCGTCTGGGTAGATGGCCTCACAGAACACACTGAGAAACAGGTATATTGTGTTTTCATTTGTATGACATATATAGTACATTAAATTACGTCAAATCGAGTAAATAGTATTTACTTAATTAACACAAAATTTTATTATTCTAGAAAAAAAAATCATTTTATTTCTTTAAATATATAATTATTTTATATTTTATAAGTCTGTTTTAGTAGAAGTTTGTTCTCCTCTGTTTCTGATCACTTCAGTAAATCTCGATTGGCCAGCGTTTTTTGTTCTTTATATTATACTCGATTAAAAATTCTAAAACACGATAGTAACACTGAAGAATGTCTTAATAGTTGAAAAGATCTCTAATTATAATTTCTAAGATTTTTTATATGAGGCGTTTGCATAGTTTTGTTTTATTCACATCAGTATTTGTAGAAAAAATATATTGATATTTTGTTTAGTTAGTTGGTTTAGAAAACAATAATTGGCGGTGATAAAGGAGCTAGTAATGAGACGCACGTGTGCGCAGGTGCTGGGCGCCGTGACGCGATGCGGCGCGGCGACGTCGGTGTGCGTGGACCGCGCGGCGGGCGCGGCGCTGGTGCACTTCGAGCAGGCCACCACGGCCGGCAACGCCGTGCGCGAGCTGCGCCGCGTCGCCGCGCAGGCCTCCGCCGCCGAGCCCGACCATCCGCGACTCTGCGTCGATTACGCGTCGCGCGAGTGCCAGGTTCATATGGACTAATTTTACATTATATTTTATCTTCCCTGACTATTCCATAAATCGCTTAATTACATTACATGCTTAAATGTGTTATTATTGTCTAGTTACTGTAGTTCAGGTATCGTGTTTATACAGGGTGTCCGGTAATGAATGGATAACCTTGAAACGTCTTAGTTCAACTTATGGCTATCATAAGTAGTACCTTTGTTATCTTCATTTTAAAGAAAAGTACTTTTTTTTATTAGTAATTTTACATGGTAATTTTAGATGGTAGATTTTACAATGGTACAATTCATAACTGTATCTATCATAAATAATGACTTTTTGCCATAAATGTAGAAAAGAAGAAAATTTGAATAAATAACAAAATTAGTAATTTGGGAACATTTTTTAAATTAAATTATATCTCATCATTGGGGATTAATAAAAAACAACGTTTAATATTGAAAACAATTTAGTTCACATAAATTTACAATAAATGCTCAAATTGTTTTCCTACCACTCTTATGCATGCCCTGCATCTTCGGATAAATGCTCTTCTGAGCAGTCTTTTGTACCGTCGCTCGTTTATTTTCGACGCGGCTGCTCTGACACGACTGTGTAATTCGTCCAAAGACTATAGGCTTACGGTACACTTCCTCTTTGAGGCAGCCCCAGTAAGAAAATCCAATGGATTTAAATCCGGTGAACGTGGACGCCATAGAATTGGCCTTAGGCCCCCGGTCCATCTTTTTGGAGACCTATTTAAATATGCATGAACCGGTACAGCATAATGTATAGGACAACCGTCATTTTGCTGCCAATAGGATTCCTTCAGCTCCTCGGAAACCTCTTCTAATAAATTAGAGAGATCATTTTATCACATTTAAAATTTTTTTATTACATTTAAAAATTTAAATTTCTAACAATTTGGTTTCAGTTTGTTCCCAAATGATGAGATATATTTATTTAAAAAAATGTTCCCATTACAAATTTTGTTATTTAGTTAAATTTTCTCCTTTTCTACATTAATGGCAATAAGTCACTATTTATGATAGATACAGTTATGAATTGTACCATTGTAAAATCTACTTGAAACAGACATTATTTTAAAGTTATTGGTCACCCAATAACTTTAAAATAATGTCTGTTTCAAGCAACCTCTTGGGTATAAAAAAAATGTATGAATACATATTCATACATTTTTTTTATACCCAAGAGGTTTGAATTTTGCTTATTTTTGCATATTTTTCAAAAAATAATTAGCTTAGGTATTAATAAAAAAAAAAACTGCAATAGCTAACATACTATTCACTTTCTATCTATCAGCACAGTTAGTGTATAATAAGGAAACAACAAAAAACCAATAGAATTCATTCATTTCTAGTCTAGTGATCAGGGCAGTTTTACTTTTCTTTAAAATGAAGATAACAAAGTTACTACTTACGATCTATTTTGTTTCGTATTGTTTATCCATCGTAGGTTATCCATTCATTACCGGACACCTGTATTTTTTTTTATAACATACAAACGAGCATGCGGTTCACCTGATGGTAAGTGATTACCGCCGCCCATGAGCACCCGCAACACCAGGAGAATTGCAAGTACGTTATCGGCCTTTTAAAAAGTAATAAGCTCTTCTTGAAGGTTTCAATATCGTATCGGTTCGGAAATACCATTGCTGGAAGGTGATTCCACAATGTGGTTGTGCGAGACAAAAAGTTTCTAGAAAACCGCACTCTAGAAGACCGCCATTCATCCAGATGATCAGCATGGTATTTCAGTTTCTGGCGGGTGGTACGGTGGTGAAACTCAGCAGCTGGTATTAATTCGAACAATTCCTCAGAACACTCCTCGTGATATATGCGGTAGACAAAGCACAGAGTTGCAATATCTCGCCGCAAAGCCAATGGGTCGAGTCTGTCATAGACGTTGATTACCAATGATTCTGGCTGCTTGGTTCTGAATGCGGTCAAATGGAAGTAGCTGGTATTGTGGTGTTCCCGCCCAGAGATGAGAACAGTATTCCATATGCGGCCGGATCTGCGCCTTGTATAATTGCAAGCGATGCCCCCCGTGAAATACCGTCTCACTCTACTGAGCACACCAAGCTTTTTTGAGGCTATTTCAGCCTTGTCCTCCAAATGACCACAAAACTGAACGTCACTGGATATATCAACGCCAAGGACCTCGAGATTTGGCCTCACATCAAGGAGAGTGTCTTAAAACTGAGGAGATACGATAAATGGAATCTTTTTAGCGGTAAACGCGCAAACTTGTGTCTTCTTGGGGTTGAATTGAACACAATTTTCCAGACCCCAAACCGAAACTTGATGGAGGGAGGTTTCGATTTCAGACACAAGTTTGTTCCGGTACTCTATAACTTTTGCCTGCGACATATTAGTATGGCCGCTGTACAAGGCATCTCCGGTACTGTCATCCGCATATCAATGAATGTTGTTGACTTGTAACGTGTCATTGATATGCAGAAGGAACAGAGTCGGAGATAGCACACAGCCTTGTGAAACACCAGCATTCACAGAGTGTGGGTCGGAGCAAGCACCATCGACGACGATCTTGATGCTCCGATCAGCGAGAAAGCTGGCGACCCATTTGCATAACTTCGAAGGCAACCCAAAGAATAGTAGCTTTGAAAGAAGAGCCTTGTGCCAAACCCGATCAAAGGCCTTCGCAATATCCAGACTAACAGATAGGGCCTCCCCCTTACTCTCAATAGCCTCTGTCCATCGATGTGTCAAATACGCTAGAAGATCACCAGCCGACCGACCCTGGCGAAAGCCATACTGACGATCAGAAATCAACTGGTTCACTTCTAGGTAATTAACTAATTACTGAATAAATTATATGGAATTGGCATTAGAGGAAAAACTCATGAATGGTTTCAATCGTATTTGGCAGATCGCTTATAATTTGTAGAAATCGAATACTTCAATTATGACACTAAACAAATACAAACTATAAGATCAAGTGGTACGGTTACAAACGCTTCTATACCCGAGGGTAGTGTAATTGGATGCTTATTGTTCTTAAGATCTGCCAAAAATTATAGACGAACTGTGCGTATTGTTTGCGGATGATATGTCACTTTTGACTTCATATGATATTAACAATGATTTAAACGACAAATTACATAAAATTATGGTTAAAATAGTAAATTGGATGAACCTACATAATCTAGTTATTAACTTTTCAAAAACTAAAATAATCAGCTTTCATCCATATCAAAAACAACCCCTAAATATAAACTTTAAATTTAACAACGTCACAATAGAAACAGCTAATGAATTTACACTTCTAGGTTTAGTAATAGATACCCATATAAATTGGAAAGCACACATAGAAAAGATAAAAACAAAAAAGTCGTGTTTCGTTTTTGCTCTTCGGGAAGTGAACTGTCTCTACTGCTCTTTCCACATATTATGCGTTTGCACATGCATGGCTCAGTTATGGGGTGGTTATGTGGGGGAACAGCGTGGACGCATCTGTTCTTTTCACTCTCCAGAAGACATTAATATGAATAATATTTAACATAAGAAGCCGAGATAGCTGTAAACCTTATTTTATAATAAATAAAATAGTCACCCTGCCTTGCATCTATATTTTGGAAGTGTGTAAATTTGTAAAAAAATATCCGGAACTGTACAAGTTGCGAGAGGACGTATACTATAATTACGCGTTGCGTAATAATAAAAAAATACAATTACCCACCTCTCGTCTCAAATTACATTCTAGTAGCCCCTTGGTATCGTCTGTTAAAATATTTAACCAACTTCCAACTTCTATAAGAACTTTAAATAAAATAGCCTATTTATAAAATACTTAAAGGATTTACTATTATATATATATATATATAATAGTAATAATAATGTTATGTTTGCGTGCCCTATCAGGGTCCATAATGATCGAAAACGAATTATAAACATCTTTCATTGTAATATTATGGAATGCAATAAATGTTGAGTATTGAGTATTGAGTATTAGGTATCGTAGGAGTTGACGGTTGACAATCGACTCCATGATCTTTGAGAATAAGGAGGTGATGGCTATGGGCCTATAGTTAGCTGGATCTGAGCGATCTCCCTTCTTAGGGATCTGTTGAACCAATGCCGTCTTCCAAAGTTTCGGGACTACACCTGTAGAGTAGCAGTACCGGAAAAGACGCGTTAGTACCGGAGCCAACTCAGGTGCACACGTCCTGAGCACAATAGCAGGAATACCGTCAGGCCCACTCGACTTGTGGATATCTAGGGAGAAAAGAGACTTACGTACCAGCTTTTGGGTAAATTTTACCTCTGGCATAAAAATCTCACACCGCGAGATGACCGGCGGTGATTGCTCCCTATCGTCCAGTGTCGAGTTGGATGCAAAAAGAGACCCAAGGAGATCGGCCTTCTCTTTGGCATGTTGGGCCAACGAGTGATACTCTCTGCGCACTGGTGGAAAAGATGGCTGACAGAAATTTCCCTGAGCAGCTTTGGCAAGAGACCAAAAAGCCCGGGATCCAGATGGAAGACTGTTCAGTCTCTTACCAATTCTGCTGATGTGCTCCGATTTTGCTGTGGCTATAACTCTTTTGAAGGACCTGGAAGCGGAGTTATACTTCCTTTTATGGGCACTGGTATCTGGATCACTCGACTTCACAGCTGCAATCCAGGCACGGAAGCATTCCTGCTTATGGCGAGACGCCGATCTACAGGATCCGCCATACCAGGACTGAGATCTACGACCAACAGGTACCAGGGATTTTGGAATAAACATCTCCATTCCCTGAAGTACTACATCGGTGTCAGATTCAGCTTTTACATCAGGATCATCCAGTGCGAAGCAAACTCGCCCCCATGGATAAGATGCTAAAAAACTTCGCATCTCATCCCAATCTGCCGACTTAAAATACCAAACACGACGTCGACCAATAGATCGCGGCAAAGAAGGACGCGTGAGAGGCACTTCGCTCCGTATCAGACAATGATCAGAGGATCCCAGTGGGGCTTCCACAGAGATCTGATATCCGTCCGGATAAGAAGTCAACAGAAGGGCCAACAGTGAATATATGGTCAACAACATCAGGAATTCGCGTAGGCGAGGATACCAGTTGCGTCAAACCATACGCCAAAGCAAAGCCATGAACAGATCTCCCCGCATAGTCGGTGGTACGTGAACCGAGCCATTCAGCGTGATGGACGTTGAAGTCACCTATAATCACGACTTCAGCGGAGGGAATCTGTTGGAGCAAAAAATCTGTAGCCATTTGGACGTGTTCAATGAATCGGTCAGTTTCGGTGTTACCGCTATGGGACCTGTATAAGCATGCATAGATGCGGGGGTGGTCATCGCAATCTACACGCAACCATAAAATGGACAGGCCAAATTGAGCGGAGTATTGCCCACCCCAGAATACGCAGGGCAGCCTGAGTGTGATATCTCAGGGGTGGATTATCCAGTAAAATGGTTACTGGTACCACTCTGGGGTAAAAATCTCTTGTAATCCGCTGCCATGGTATGTAAGAAAGGGGTGGGTAGGGGAAGGAAGTAGGAAAGGGATAGGGGGGGGGGGAAGGGCGTCCGGAACCTACAGCTCACCATGCGAAACGCGATATCGCTTAACGCCGGTTTTCTGCCGAGGTGTGGTATTTTCCGTTCCGGCGGCCCAATCGAGCTTAACAACCACGTGTGGTCGTACAGCTTGCTCTACCACTTCAAAATGTATATACGGCTTCTATTGGATATACTTATATATACTAGCACAATACTTACCTAACGCTATAAAATTTATTATTGCTGCTATCGTCATCCATATCTAAGAGAATTTTCTGGTATGGTGACACCAAAGGGCTTTTCTTTTGTAGATGTAGGCATAATGAAGTCATAAAAGAATTAGAACCTTTAGATTAGTGAAGTTAGAATTGTCACTTTAAACAATCCTAAATAAACATGATTGTATGCCTTTATAAAAAAAATGTGTTCTTACCAACAGGAGGCGTTTTATGAGCAGCTAGAAAAACATGGCGGTCCGTCTGCTGTCGCTGGTGCCGAAAGACTGTCTGGTGATCTCGCCTCGCGATATTTACCCAGTACGCGACATGATCCGCTTCGGTGAGAATATTTAGTATACTTTCAGTCTGGTTTACGCCAGGATTCATCGGCGAATTATGCAAGAATGATGAGGATGTAATTAGTTAAAATATAAAATTATACAAAATTAAATCGCGATCAAATCAAAATACCGTCAAACAGATTATATTTGCATGTCTATGGTAAAATGAGCGTTTAAAATAAACCTACGATTGTTATTTCACATTAATTATATGTTGCATCCTCCGTATTCAAAATCTATCAAGAAATTGATCACGATGGTTTTTGTTAATCAATATCCGAGCAATACTTTGAAATTATTTTATACATTACAAAGAAAGACGGGAGATTTTTTTTTATTAATTTTGTTTTGTATTTACCTATTGTCAAATGGTTATTATTTCGTAGTTTTATTTTATATTATTGTTATTTTTCAGTTATGATAATTGCGGCTCAAGATCACGAGCTTCCAGTTATGGCCGAGCATCATCGCGAACACCCCGTTTTACAACGATTGATCATTACGATCCAACTGATTATGCTGCGGATCGACGTTACAGGTGTGTTGTGTAACCTATTTATATATGAAAGCAGCTCCTTCGATGTAATATTTAATATTATATAAATATATTAAGCATGTATTATATCGTTAGTGCTCTCGGATTGCTTACAATGCATCCGATAATTGAGAGTAATTCCATTCCAAAATTAATACAATCCAATTGTTATAAAGTAAATGCCCTTCATACGGTGTCATATTGGAATAAAACTTTAAATTAGAAAGATAAAAATAGTGGTTTGTAGTTCAACACCGTAAAAATTTGTATATATACGGGAACCTAAAAAAATATGTTTTGTTAACTCCATGCGCCATATTGAATTTTTTTCGCCATCGCCATATTAAATATTTATTTTCTTGGGTTTTTATACTAAATCACTTGAACATTTATTTTCTACTGAATACAAAATTTATTAGTACTTCTAAATGCTTGTTTTATTTTATTAGTATATATTTCTTTTTTGAAGTTGCTGCTGAACTGTCGTGCAAAGAAGTTAGAGTAAAACATTTTATACGTACATATATTGGTTTTTTTTTTAATTTCACTTAAAGATATTTTAGCTGAGATATAATACACTGTAAAATTACATTAATTAGCGTAACAGGGTAATTAAAACAAGCCTAATTTCTATATATTGTAGATTGTTTCGTAAACATCTTCGTCAGTTGCTTTTATAACCATATGTTCTTTGAAATGATCAGCAGTGCGCTGGATTTTACTTTGATAAAACGCACGCAATCACGAATGTTTGATTATTTTTTTCTTGTGTTCACTCTTTCGCGATTGACTTTGTATTTCTTGTATCCTGTTCTATTAATTTTATTAACATATTCTTCAGATCTTCTTTTCCAAAGGTTGTTTAATATTTATACATTCCTTACCAACAAAACTCTAATTTGATCTTTGCTCCGTAGTCAGATCTCCGATATTTTGCATTAAGCACGCGGAAATGCACGATTAGTGCGTCAACTTTTCTTGTTCTGTTTGTTATTTTCTCTACCTTTTTTCCGTATCAAAGCCTATTCGCGCCTGAAAGTGCGTCCATGTAAGGCAGCTATTAACTCCACTGCATTGTACATGTATCCTTGCGGTACTAAAGAAAGTTATGACAGTTCCGTTATATCGCTAATCAAGGCCGAACGCACCGCATCCTATAGCACTCAGAAATATCGAAACTTGTTTTGAATATTAATTTAATAAAGCTTGATTTCGTTGTAGTTTTAATAAAAGTTTTCTGTTGCAGGGTATACGAAGAATTAGGCTCGAGTCCGCAGACGGAAGACGCACCTTATGATGACAGATTACAGTCTGTCGTGGTGTCACCGCACCGCGCGCGGCACCGCCGTCGCGACTCTAGCACGGAAGATCGAAAACATTCAAAGGTTTGTATTAATAACTAGCTGTATCAGCGACTTCGTACGCGCGGAATTTAACTTTATTTTTCTAAAATAAAAGTAGCCTAAGTTAGTCCTTATTACATGAGCTACCTGCCAAAAAAAGTCCCTTCAAAATAGGTCCAGTCATTTCAGAGATTATCCGGAACAAATAGACAGACAGACAAAATTTAAAAAAAAATGTTATTTTGGTGTATGTACCTTATGTAATATTCATATGCATGTAATAAAAAACGGTTATTTCAATTTTACAAACAGACTCCAATTTTATTTATGTAAAGATTAAATCGGTTTTACTTGACCTGTAAGTTTTTCTCACGTATATAACAATGTGTCTTACATAATTATAATTAACAAATGTAAAAATATATTATTGAGTTTTGAGTCTTTACTTTTGTAATATATTTTTGGGAAAACATTTAATATATATTTATAATAATATATTTGTTTCAATATTGATTTTAAAATATTAAAACAGGAGCGGCATCGGAGCATCGGCGCAAGCGGTGGCAGTTCCATAGTGGCAGGACAGTGCAGTGCACGGCGGTCGCGGTCCGGATCCCGCGGAGGGGAACGGCACGTCGGCCGGCGGCGGCACCGGCGGCGGCGGGACGGTTCCGGCTCCCGCGCCGGAACTCCGTTACGGGACGAGCCGGACGCGCTGCCTTGCGAGCCGCGTCGCCCGCGGGAACGCCCGCCGCTGCCTATGATTCTGCCTCTGCCCAAGTTTGCTGCGCAGCTGTTACGAGCTGCACCCTCGGCGCCACGGCCGACACCGACGCCTGCTCCGGCGCCGGATTCTCCACCGCGCCCACCTTCTGCGTCTTCTTCGAGCGCGGGCTCAGCCCCACATTCGCCTTCTTTGGAGGAGCGTATTCGGAGTCTCGACGAGAAGTACGAGAGATGGAGTGGTTCACGTGCTATCGCAGATGCACCAGATCGATCCCGTCTCCGACACCGTTTGCTCGATGTCGATATCAACGAAGTAAAACCATCGGAAGTGGTGCGATCGCTACTCGCGAAACGTTCCGTGTTCGATGAGGACTCTGAGCGGCTGGAAGGAGCGGCGCGGGCGCCGAGTCCGGCTAGCAGCCCTCGCCGGTCAGCTCCGTGCACCCCTCGCGCACTTCGCTATCCGTTCCCGGTGCACCCGACGCACCCACCACAGCCGCTTACACCTACGTCGACACCTACTACTCCAACACTGCCGTCCTTGTTACATGCACATCATCTCGATGTTGACGTCGATACCACAGATCGGCCGGCGGATCCGCGACTTAATCGCCATGAAAGGCACTTCCAGTTAGACAGATTATCTAAATTTAGTGAGAGTGACTATAGACTTGAGTCGAGGATTCGACCGAGGACACCCTCGACGGATCGATCGCAGCCCGACTCGAGTGAAAGGAAGTCACCCCGAATAGACGGAGATCTCAATAGTGATCCAAGAGGTATCATAAACCGTAGGCGCCGGGATTCTCTTTTTGGTGAAAGTAAGACCAGCACGGATATCGGCGACGAAAAGGATATTTGTTACAGTTCTGACGGAATTGATCAAGAATACCAAAACAGACAAAAGAATACCCTTGTATCTCATAGACGCTTATCAGATAAAACCGTGGAGTGTAATAACGATAAATTGACTTCTGTAATATCATCTAGAACTGAACTATTCGAACAGAATGAAAAACGGACTGATAGTATTTCACTCGGCAACCAATGTGATATCGATCGAGACATAGCAGATATATTATTGAATGAAGGTACTGATGAACAAGATACTGTTAAAGGAGATATATCTGAAGAGAGACAATTAAAAACTACAAATGATAATGGCATAAAAACTGATTTACACATTCAAAAAGAAATTAAAGCACATTTAGATAGAGGAAAAAAGTGTAACGATTCTGGTAGCCAAATGAAACACGAAAATGATAATTGCAAAGAAAAATTTACCCCAAACCATATTAAAGAATTAATTGAAATAGAGTCGCAACAAAATCATTTAACCTCTACTAATTTAGCTAAAGTAAATAAAGAGGTTTCCGAATTAATCAGTCAAGAATTTATGAAAGGTAGTGACAAAAATGGAAAAGAGAGATTTAGTCAAAATATAGCCTACCAAATTACCAAATTTGAAAAAGAGAATATTGAATTCGAGAAATGTATTGATAAAGATAAATATACCTCTAACACACAATTTTTCTCAGAAAAAAAGACTACTGAGAGCGACAAAGAAGATCGGACTAGACATGATCGTGACAAAGTACGGCACGGCAGAGATCGCGTAGAAAAAGATAGACATGATTACGAACGAGAGAAATTAAAAAACAATAAACATGATAAAAGTTTGGATAGAAGTGATAAAGAGAAAAGGAACAAAGAAGACATTATAGCGGATAAACATCATCATAGCGAAAAAAATAAAATAGACAGAGATGTAGATAAATCGCACAAAGATAAAATTGATCGTGATTCTGAGAAAATATGTAAAGATAAAAGTGATCGTGAATCTGAAAAAACTAAACACACAGAAGATAAGTCGAGACATGAGCATCATAGAAAAGATAAAAGAAAGGACAGTGTCGAATTAGATTTTAAAACAAAGAAAGAAGAGAAACATAAACATGAAAAATCTAAGAAAGATAATGGTGATAATAAACGAGATAATAAAAAAGAATCTGATTGTACTAAAATACGAAAGTCGTCCCGAGATGAAATCTCTCGAGATTTATGTCGCAAAGACTCCACTGATTCATCAACATCACGTGCTTCTCATGATTCAACTAAACTCAAAGATTTTGAACAGAATGAAGTTAAAGAAGAAATTAAATTGAAAGTTAGGCATTACAATGACTTATTTTGTAAACAAGAAGATAAAGATTCAATGCTTATGAAGTCTATCGATACTGTTAAATTGGAGCCTGTAGTGAAAATTAAAATGGAAATAAAAGAAGAAAAAGATCAATTGGAAACATATTCTAAAGTAAAAAATAATATTTTTGATCACACAGGCAAGTTCAAAGGAGATACAATTGAAAAACCGAGACATTATTCTGTGGATTCGCCAAGTCTTGATTCCAAACGCAAAGAACGGTTGAACTCTTGTTCTAGTCTCCCTTCCAATATTGGTCACAAGAGAAGAATGTCATCACAAGACAGTTTAGAGTCCTTTAATGAAGATTTTAAAAAATCAAGACATGATCAAAAAAATGAAAGGAGAGATTCTAAAGATTCAAAAAGTTCTGACAAACACAAAACTGCTAAGTTTAATAGAGGTCATTATGCTAAAATAATAGAAAGTAAGACAAAAGATGATAAAAAGAATCAAGTAAAACCACCAGATGATACATATGAAGTGAAAGATGACCTGAAAGAACTGAAATTTTCTGGAGAGAGAATTAAACTTAAAAAGAGCCCAAAAACAGATGTTGAAGATAAAACAAACAGTGATGGAGTAACTGAAGGTTTACACAATGATTTAGACTTCTTAGCTACTTTAGAGCTTAGATCAAGCGAGGAAGATGAAAAGCAAAAAGCCTTAAGAAAAGAAATGAAAGAAAAGAAACGCATTCAGCAGTTACAGCAGATCCAGGAACTTCAGCTACAACAAGGCGCTTTGATTCAAGCGGACCTTTTGAATAAATTAAAAGAAGAGAAAAAGCAAAAACCCGACGACAAGAAAAAGGAAGCAGCTCGCGAAAAGCGAATGTCAACAGACCGCAAAAGTAGAGAAGACAAAAACGATAGCAATAAACGAAAAAGTCGAAAACAGTTACAAAGCACCGACAGCTCTGATTCGGATGAACCTAAGAAACACTCCATATTTGATATAATTGACGACGGTCCTACTTATATATCAATGTACGACAAAGTTAAGGCTCGTTCTTGTAAAAATATGCAGAAGCAAGAAGCAGAAAAACGTCAAGAAAAAATTAAAGCTAAGTTTAGTCAGTTAAAACAAAGTAGAGCTAAACGCGAGGAAAAGAAAAGGTCAAGTTGGGATGAAGATAGTGATTCTGACCATGATAGGAAGAAAAATCTAAAATTATCTATGGATAGTTCTACTGATGACGAAAACATCATACATAACAAAAAACGTGATAAACTAGTAGATTGTAACATTGATTATGATCATGACAAACATAATGAATATTTCAACATGCCAAGTAATGAAGAATCTCGTAACAAACTATCTCGTAAAAATTCTCGATCGCGTATAATGTCTGATACATCTGATGATGAAACATCAAAAAGAAGTTTGAGTAAAAGTCCTAATTATATTGTCGCCATCAAAAAAGAGATAATATCAGACTCAGAGATTTTACAGAGATCAAAAGACGAATCAATTCTTAGTAAAGAATGTGATGATAAAATAAAGAGAAATTCATTATTAAATCTGTTTGGTAAAAGCGATAGCGATGATAGTAAATTAAAATCTAGTATAGAAATAGACACTGAGTATAAACCTAGTTTCATGAAGACAAATCCTAATGATTTTTCTTCAGAAAGTGAATCTATAATGTCGAATAGAAATTCAGAAGTTCGTAAAAAGCACAAGCGTAAACAAAAGAAGCACAAAGTTCTATCGGATGATGATAATAAAATTGAAAATAACGATGGAGAAAGTGACGTCAGGCATAAAAGTCGACGACATAGTAACAAAAAGGAGAAACGAAAAGATAAGATTCGCGAAAGTATTGATACAGATGAAACTCGCGATGATAAAAATAAACTGAGAAAGGAAAAGAAACACATTAATAATAGCTTTGAATATAACACAGAATGTATTTCTAAAAAAGAAGGGAAAATGGAAGACATATTTGGACCTCTATCAGACGAGTCGGATAAGGATACTAGAGCACCATTGACTAATAAACTTGATTTTTCATCACATGATTATGAGTCCGAGTATAGTGTTTCTAACAGTCAAATAACGGTAACAAATATTGATGACAATAAATTCAAAGATCGAGATGAAATCAAACGCAAAAAGGAGAAAAGACGTAAGGAAAAGCGACACTACGTTAAAGAAGATGACAATAGCCTAGATGTTGATGCTGTCAGTAAAGCTATTGAAGCCCGGCTTTTCGCTGATAATATTGGCGATGAAGATAACCGCTCAAATTTGGAGGCACTCTCTGAGCGCTTAAAGAAAACTGATACCAATGAAATAAAGTATAAGACCAATGAAAATGTAAGATTAGGAGATAAATATGAGAAGATGAAAAGAGATTGTAGAGAAAAAAAGAAGAAGAAAAAGAAAAATAAAGATGAAAGACAAAATCGTAAAGAACATCATAATTATCATTATCACGATAAAGCACACAATATATCTGAGTTAGTATTCGAAACCACTACATTTTTAGAGCTACCATCTAAAACATCGTTATTAGATATACCCCTACCAAACGAAACTGAGGCCAATATTGATAAGTCAGATGACCGTAGAACTCTTTCTGAATCTCCAAGCTTACCAAGATTGACAGAAAGTCCACCTGTTTCAGACAAACAAAAAAAAGAAAACACGGATAGTAAAGATATCAGTGGATATTCAGGAGAGATTTCAGTTAACATAAATATTGAAAATAGTGTTATTCATGAAAAAGTAATTGAAGTCGATGATATTCCAATGCCGGCACCAATTGAAAATTTTATAAAGGATATAAGTGAAGTACCATTACCTAACGATCCTGCTCCTGTTACCATGGATCAAAGTAAAAGAGAAAAATTTATACCATTTGGTGGTGATATTAATACAGATATTAATAGCGAAAATGCCGTCCGTAGTATACCTAATGTCACAGATCATGAGCAACAAGCAGATAAAATAGATACTCATACTTGTAAAATAGATAAAAAATCTGAAGAGAAACCTAGGGCTATTATTTCTCAAGAAGAAACGGAAGATGCAGTCGCTGCACTTTTGGGGGAAAGCTTTGGAGGAAAGGTAAATACATTTTCCGATTATGAACAAGTTGAAAATGATACGTCTCATCAAACGGAGATTGAAAGTCCATCAGTAGAGAACGAAAACATACCCGAGGAGGACGCCGAGGAAATGAGACAAGCGGTTCAAAATTTAAACGCTAGTGAAATGGAAATAAAACCAGATACACCTGTATCTGATAACGATCTTCTGTTAATTGATACTGATACGGAAGAAGTAGACGAAACTCCTCAAGATGCAATAGAAAAATTGCCTGTAAATATTATCACTACTAATCAAACCTTAAACGCTTGCGCAGATCAACGTAAATCTACGGAAATGTCAAATATAGTTATTGCGAAACCCAAAACTACTTTAGTACAAGTTTTGAATCCTGAAACTAATGATCCTGATGTTAAAGTAAGTGAAACTGAAATTAAATTTCATTTAGCTAAACGTGAAACTGTCCAACAAATTACTTCAACATCAACACCTGTTATAACTTCATTGGGATTAAGAAATAAATTACTGGAACCTCACGTATTAAATATTCAAACAAATCAATTGTCAAACAGGGACAAAAATGAAAACAAACCAACTCATATCACTGCAAACATAGTTCAAATTAAAGGCCAAAATCAAAACGTACCAATGAACAACACTCTTCGACCTATTATTGCACCTAACAGAGTAGGAGCTCCATATCAAGTTATTAATCAAATTATTCGCCCCACTGCGCCTATTCAACCACCTACTATTAAGATACCGGAACCTCATATTTTATACCAGAAACCTTCAGGCTTTGTTATATCGCCGAGAACTACTGGTGATCCTAGACTGCAGAGCCCTAAAGCACAAAACGAGGGAGTGACTTCACCAAGATTATCAAACGTGACTATTCACACTTCTCCCCAAAATGTTAATTCTGTTGGAATGCCAACGACTCCCAATGCGTTACAGCAAAGATCTCCAGGTCAAGTAACTGTTGTGCGAATGCAACAGCCTCCATTAAGTCCTATTCAAACAATGCATATACCACATGGTGGAAGAACTATGGTGTCTCCTAATAGACCGAATTCTGTATTGGTACAAACGCAAGGGGCTCCATTACATTTTAACCGATTACCTGTTACACCAGTATTGGCGCCGATATCCAAACAGATAGGTACTAATAATATTGTTCAACAAAATAAATCCATTGGTCTAAACAGTTCTGTCCATCAACCAAAAATTATAACAACCGATTGTAGAAAAAACGACCAAACAGAAAGTTCTAAAATAATACTATCTCCTACAAGCTTACAAAGCACTAATCCTACTGTAATGGCACAAAATCGTTTGATATCAATGCAAAATGCTATACAGGGCAGCAATATGAATTCAACTTTACATTTGCCAAACAAGGTCTTAATAAACAATATAAACCAGTTAAGTGACAAAAGAGATAGTCAAGTTCAGAAATCAGAACAACAGAATCATGTACCATTTAGTACCACACCAATTATACATGTTACAGGAATAAACCATTCTACTCCATCGATTATTCAAACGGTTGCTAAACCTGTTGTATGTACACTTCAAGAATCAAATAATGTTAACAGGGGACAGGCTTCAAATGTGATACATACTTTAAATTCTCAAAGATTATTAACGACGGCGCCTATAAGTAACGTTATTCAAATAGATACTAGTAAAGGCCCACCTTCTGTATTGTCTATGGCAACAATTAGATCTCCAACTGTTTTAACCAAATTAGAATCTTCTACCTCTGTAGCGGCTACAACTACTAGTCATACAAATGTTGTAATGACTCCGTTGTTATTAAAAACAAACACTATTCCTGGGACAGTCAGAGTTAAAACAAAACATGAAACTGAACAAACTGAAACTAATAATTTACCTGAATTGCTGCAAAATCCCATGGCTCGAGAGAATGAACTAAAAATAGATGACCAATCAAAAAATTGTAAAATGCCCGTATTTGACACCATAGACAGACAAAAAGAGCAACACATATCTCATATTAAATCTGTGTCATCAATAGAAGATATTGCTAAGTGTGAAACTGATTTTGAAGAATTACTAAAAGATAACACAAATGAAATAAAAATAACTAATGATCCTGAAAAAAAACTCGAAGTAAATGTAGGTAAAACCGTAACATTGTTTTCTGCTGTTAATCCAATTCGAGAGAGAAAACAAAGTACAGAGTGTCCCCAGAGTGAGTGTGTAGAAACAAAATCGACGTCTGAAGAAACTCAAAGGAAGTTGGTGTTAGAAAACGATATAGAATGCCATAAAAGTGTATCTCATATAAGAGATTCTCCTATTTTAGAGAAAGAAAATGATAATTCTCATATATTCGAGTCTAGTCTTGAAGTTTCGAGTAACAGTAATCCAATAGATACTATATCAAATAACAATATTTCAACTGAAGACAATATTTCATTAGATGTTACTAGTAGATTGAAACCAGAAGAAAATATTTTTTTAAGTCTTGTCTCAAAACAACCCGAAATTATAGATATAAAAACTTTAGATGAAAATGATTCTTGGAGTGCTAAGGATGTTAATATAGATTCGGTAATTAAAAAAGTTGATTCATTGTGTAATGAAACTATAGATATAAATAATGAAAAAGAAGTAGATTTGGAAGCAAAGGAGCCAATAAAAGATGTTCAATCGGATTCTAATATTTCTGAAAAGTTGTCTACAGAAGCTGAGAACAAGGTGGATACACATACTGAAACAAGGAATTATAATATTACTGATGAACTAAATTTGGATAAGACAGCCACTCCTAGTAAACGTGGGGGTCGGAGTACAAGAGGAAAGAGATCGGATAAGAGTCAAGATAGAGTACAGACCCGACAAATATCTAAACCCACCAGAGGTACATCAGCCAAAAGAGGCAGAGGAAGAGCCAAAACTGATAAAAAAATAAAGAGCTTTGTTAATAATAATTCTAGTAATATGCCCGGAGACGTTTATGATTTCCATGAAGATTCTGGTGACGAAACTGCTGCGTCTCCAAGTAAATCTGAAACGCGGCCAAGATTAATTTTAACTATAAAAAGCCCTCAGTCAGGACAATCGAATGCTATAGCTACATCTTCACTAAGTATACAAAAAGATCAAAGTAAAATTAACGAAAAAACAACTAAAGAAGAAAAGATGGAAGATTTTATCTCACCATCACCAAACACTCGGAAATCAAGACGACTTCAAGAAAAAGATGTACAACGGAATACTGTTGATGAAATCATAGACGACGTTATTAAAGGATCTAGTGGAACTACAAAAACAGCTAAAAAGAGAGTTGTTAAGCAGACTGCTCTGAAAGTGAATCAAGATAAGAACAGCTCAGATACCCGAAAATCTCCACGAGGTGTTAAGAGAACCCGAGATAGAAGTCTTTCGGATGCTTCTATTGACAGCGGGGATGAGAAAATAGTTAAAAAAGAAGAACTTGTAAAGGAAGCGAAGATACCCAAATTGCCAGACCTGATAGTTGCAGCTAAAACTGAGTCTGATACCCCAGTGGTTAGTAAAGCGTCAGCAGTACAAGCTATCGTTCAACCGGCAGTTACATCAACTCCTATTATGAAACCTCCCAAAAAAATGATATCGGAGATCAGCGCCAAATTGGCTAGCGCATTCGAGGCCGCTGCAGCTGCTGGCCCCCCGCGAGCCACTACTACGATGCAAAATTTGATAGAACGCGTTCCTCAAGAGGCTGATAAACAAGCTCCAGTACTACGTGATCCTAGGATATTGGAACCGGCCGCGGCAACACCTGCAACTTCTGACATAGTGGCAACGGCTACCAGTATCGGTATTAGTGCAGTGCGGGCTGAACAGCAAGGAACCGATGCCAGATTCGCCCGTCGCCTTGTTGATAGCGTCCCGGGTCCAATGATGCCGGTAGGCACTGAAGCGACAGACGCGCGAGTACAATCGCCGGCACTTCCACATCGGCCACCTTCGAGTCATCGACCTGCGGACCGAGCTACACCTGTTCTTATAAGGTAAGATTTAGAGTAGTTGTGTAAACGACGACTGAACTGTTAATAGAAATAGTCTCGACTTGAAAATCACAATCGTATTGTATCATATTTATTATGGATTTGTGGAAGAATTCATCAAAATTCAGTATTATTGTTATTGATCAGCTGCCTTCATTTTCGTACACTAGCATGGTAGTCTGCATGTAGCATTTGAATCGTTACAGGTCTCATATAATATTTAGAATTATTTTCATAAATTTAAAGTACAATATAACGAAATCGAATAGAAATAATGCTTATTCAAATAATTTAAAATTAAATTAATTTTTTCTTAGTCTACGTTACTTTAAATAGGAGTATGCCAAATCCGTTGTTAAATAAAATTTACATACCTACACAACTAATCGATTGTGGTATCTACTAATAATTTAACAACAATTCAGATTAATTTAATTTCCTGTTTTTATGTTTTTACCTCTTAAAGGTTTCGGTTTAGGTGTAACAAGTGGACAACCCGATTTACTTTCGTTCTTATAACATTAGTGCATATCGTTCATAAATTAGTGTTTATTAGGTCGACGAGTAAGTACATTTTAAGTAAAATATGTTCGTTACTCATTAGGGGAGGAGAGAGCGAGGGCGGCATGGCAGGCGTGGTGGGTCAGGGCAGCGCGGGGGGCGCGAGCGCGGCGGGCGGCGAGCCGGGCCTGGGCCCGGGCGCGGCGGGCGCGGCCTCCTCGCGCTCCTACCGCGCCGCGTACGCGGACGCCGCCAGCTTGCCGCGCGGCGCACACCACCCGCCCACGCACCCGCCGCACGTCGCGCACCCCGCGCACCCCGCGCACCCCGCGCACCCCGCGCACCCCGCGCACCCCGCACACCCTGCGCACCCCGCGCACCCCGCGCACCACCATATCAAGCAAGTCGCCGTCGTTGGGCCCCACCACCAACATTCCGGTACGTCGATTCGGTAATAATATATCACGATATAAGTGCGTTATGATGGTTACAACACATGAGGCGAAATTTCAGTCCGAGCCGAAGGCAGGGGTGTAATACAGCTGAGTGTGTTTCGGACGTATATCGTACGGCGACTTTCAACACACTTGATTTTAAATAAACTCAACTATAAAACTATAATGTGAATGTGGAGTATAATACTTTACTATTCGCGTTTATACTGCACGCGTGTATATATACTCGTACTTTTCGATAGATATGTAAAGCATGTATGAATTATAATATAATTATTATCCTGAATATGGATCTCATTACTTTTTAGCCAAAATAATAGATATAAACATTATGTTATATTATTAACATGGTATTTCCACATTTTTTTTGTTTTCAGGGTCCACTTCCCGTGTTACTCTTACGAGTGTTCCGAACGTCAGCCCACAAGGTCAAATGGCATTGGTGAGTTCAAAATTTCGCATTCAATAAACCATACCATACGTAATTCATATTCAATCTACAAACTAGCTGTGTAGTTTTACTGTAATTACAAATTAAATATATTACATGAATAAGTTAGTTTGTTTGGAAAGCATTCTCCAAATTGTTAATGATTGTCATTCTGTTCACGCTACCCGGATTAGTCGGCGGATTTAGTTCGAAGTCCTCCGCCGGCACACCAACAGACATCTCCTATCACCTCGGTATACCACAATGTAATTATTGTTTAAATATTTATTCATTTGTCGTTTATTATGACAATATTTTATGCAATTAATCGAAATAGAACCAGTACTTAACAATTTTTCTTTTCCAGGGCGAAGGAATGTATCCACATTTTTCACATCAACATTATCAGATGTACCAACAACATTTCCGTGCTACACAACATGAGAATCGTGCCACTCCTTCACCTTATACCAGGTAATGTTGTTTGAGTTTATTCTGAACTTTGTGAACTTCTTTGGCCAAGAATAAAAATGTTCATTACATGTTAGAATACATTTTTTTTTAAATAAGCACAATAATAACTTAGGATAGTCTTCATCCTAATCTTACTAGTAAGTACACGTTTCTATAATGTACAAATGCTGTAGTTAAACTCAAAATTAAGTTTTTATCTGTAGTATTTGAAAGTTTTATATGAAATGCAACCAATGTTTGCGAGGAATGTGCTGTCGCCCAATAGTTATACGTATCTACAATCCAAACTTAATTTCAATTTTAATTAGTTCGCCCTTTAGTTACTATCTAAATCAAATGTTATTTCTCTTATAATTTTAGTCTGTTTTCATTAATCGCATAATTGTAATAATGTAAGCTCGTGCGTGCGGGGCATGAATACTGGTGTAGATGAATGTGAGGATGTAACAGTAAGTGTGTGGTGCGACAGGAGCCTGGAGGCGGAGGGCTCGGAGGCGCCGACGCCGCCGCTGGAGCTGCGCCGGCCGCCGTCGGCGCGCGTGCCGCGCCCCGCGCACTCGCCCTCGCCCGCAGACCGCCTCATCAGTGAGTCCGCTGCTTACAGTACACCTCCACCAGTTTGGACATATGTTAACACTGTCTCGTTTGCGAGAGAAGGGACTCGCACGTTTACATCTTTAAGATCTAACCATTCTTTATGATGCTCTTTTATTTCATTATATATATTTTTAAATAGTGATACTCGAAATATTTCATCAATTATGATGAAATTATAAATAAAAATCGTAAGTGTCAGTGAACGAGTAATATAAATATATGTCAGTTATATTGTTACCCAAATTAAATATTACTTTCTTAACGCAACTATTATGGGATGCATTTATTGTTCAAGTAACCGTCGAGTAGTAATCAAAATTAAATTAACGTTCACTTTTCTCTCACGTCTGAGTGTGTAGGATGACTTTTTACTGTAACTATTGTTATACTGGCTATAGCGGGCCTTATGAATGCCTCGAACGGGCTCGTGTAGGACGCTGGCGTCGGCCTGTTCCCGCCGTCCGTCTCGGCCACCTCGGCAGGGTGAGGGACGGACGGGACAGACGGGACGGCGGCGGATAGAGCCCGCAGTGGTAATGTGTGTCCGTGTGTTGGCGCAGTGTACGCGGTGGGGTGCGGCCGGTCGCCGCGGTCGCCGCCGCCGGCGCACGGCACGTCTCGGCTGGCGGCCGCGCTGCCGCCGCCCGCCGCGCCCGGCCCGCCGCATGCTTCGCAGGTGCCGCGCGAAGCCGACAGCCTGCAGATGCTGCTACGGGTGAGTGCACCTCTACATACGCTATACAATACCACACACATTCATATTGTTTCTCTAGAATAAGTTACACATTATTTTAGTGATTGCCTATAGCGGATTTTTACGCATGTACACTTATAGATCGCAGTCTATTGATGGTGATTGAGCGACAGCATCCGCATATACGAGTCTTTTTATTATTTTATTATTTATTGACCCGTTTTGAGGTTCTTTTTTCCAACTTTACTTAACCTATATGCTGATCTATACTTAATAACGTTCTGTGAAAACTATTTCGTAATTTATCCACATATTTTTAAGCGAAACGTTAATAGTTAAAAATATAGCAGCCACATTATGATTATATTATATGATCCGAAACTAATTAGTTTGATATCTTAAGTAGGTGGGAATTATTAAAACTAAACAAGTCTGTTATTTTAATTTAAACAGTTATTGTGATAACTTCATAAAAGATCGTACTAAATTGAGGGACATCATTAAACATTTTTTGCTCGTATGTAAAGAATGTTGCCACATTTGAAATGACGCGGTTATGTTATGTGTGACCATTCGACGCACACATATACATAATGATGCAAGATATAGTGGAGCTAATGTCGTGTTGATATGTTGCGCAGCGGTACCCGGTGATGTGGCAAGGACTGCTGGCTCTGAAGAACGACTCGGCCGCCGTGCAGATGCATTTCGTAGGCGGTAATCCGGGCGTGGCGGCCGACACGCTGCCGCGCCACGCCGACAGCTCCACGCCGCTGCTGCGCATCGCACAGCGCATGCGACTCGAGCCCGCGCAGCTCGACCAGGTGCATCGCAAGATGCAGGTCCGTACCACTCACGCAATATTACACTACACACGGCTACATAACACGATGGCACTGGAAACACAGGCCAAACAAACTATTTAAGTACGAGGGTCATTTGAAAAGTTCTTAGCCTAACATGGTTCAAGTCATTGGTTTTTTTTATTACATTATTCAGCAACAAGTATGCACAGTTTAGTTTATTCACAGCAACTCTTTGTTCGTTTACACGTGACCGTACACCGTAAGTCAAGTCAGAGCTATTTTTGAATAATATTGATTAAAGAATAACAATTAAAACAAAAACTTTATTAACGCACGAAACTTCTATAATTACATATTTGTACTTTAGCGACGTCATGGAATTCATACTGAGGTTAGCTATGAAGAGTGAATAATATATTAGTAATAAATAATTATTGTTTATTTATTTACAGATGGAAAGTGAACACTGTATGCTACTAGCGCTACCATGTGGCCGTGATCACATGGACGTATTACAGCAGTCGACCAATCTGACTGCCGGCTTTATCACATATTTGCAGCGGAAACAAGCCGCTGGCATAGTCAACGTAGCGCCACCCGGACATCAACAGGTGAATATATTATTATTAGATTATAAGCGAGTGTCGAACGAAAACAGGTGTGTACGACATATAAATACGTCTTTGTATTTTATGAGATATATATATATATATATATATATATATATATATATATCATATTATTATATATTCATTAATATTAAGTATAAATAAAAAAAAACTGACGTGACGTACTGACACATCCTAGTGAAAAAGTACGGGTCCATTATATGTTGAGTAATTGAAAGGAATTTTCCGGTTAACCGGTTAATTACTAGGATATCATCTAACTGAAATAAAGTAGGAAATATAGATTGAATAAATATGGCATATATGTGATGACCGGATGGAAATATTAGTCATTATTTAAATATTTGTTTTTATTATAAAAAAGCTCTTTATTTAGCTGTTTAAGTATTGTCAAGTAATCTGTTTTCATTAATTTGGTCAGACCATATCGTGAATATTTTTCAATTCGTGTGGTAAGGTTTGATAATCATAACATTTTATTAAATTTTTGACAAATATCCATGATAATATTAAGTTTACGCATATATCATTGTTATGTTCTTATATTATGTTATAAATCTGTATTATTTACTTATAGGCCATGTTCACTGTGCACATATTCCCGTCGTGCGACTTTGCAAACGAGAACCTTAACCGCATCGCGCCAGACCTGATGCACCGTGTGGCCGATATCGCGCACCTGCTCATCGTTATCGCCACCGTGTGAGCCTTACATGTTGCGCCCTACCACCACCACATAATGTGACACGTGAGCGAAGCCTATTCTTTTGCGATACTGTAGTACATTTTTTATATTCTATAATACGCTCACCAAACCCAGTGTCTTCGTTTGTAAACGAACGCTACTGTGAGATTTCTGGATTAGAAAAATGACACCAAATTTACTGAAAAGGACGCTTAGACGATTAATAATAATAATTAATTCTAAGTATGGCCAGGTTGTGAATCTTTTTAATTTTTTATCTTATCTATCAATCGACCTGGTAGAGTCGTGAAAATATCGCTGCGTAAACAAATCGATTTTCGTGTATGACAATGTTCGTAGGAATTGAGATGGATTACCTCTGTGAAACTGAACTCTCGTCGTAGTGATGTAATGTTAGTTTTATTTATTGTTATCGCGTGATACGTCGCACCTGCGACGGTGACGTGTCTCGCATTTGTATAAAGTCTCATGTAACTAGGTAAGCCGTCACTTATTTAAGTATTAGATGTAAGTAATAGCTTATTTGTAAAAAAAACTTTTGTTATAGTCGACAGGGTTCGACGTTATTTGGAGTTTAAATTTATAAAAGTATGAATAATAAATGGCAAAGTCAGTTGATAAAAATATCTTTAATTTTTGGGGTCCGATTAGATGTGTGGCAATCTATCGAGCATTTTTATTGTTAGTGTAAATTGTTATTTTGTTTTAAGCAACTAGGTCTAAAGTAATTTAAATTCTGTAAATATTGAATCTATTCATACTAAATACGACTTATTTCGCTTGGAAAACTCATAAATACTGGGTCGAATGATTACTATCTGTAACGAATATGATAGTTGAATAAAACTTGTAATTACAGTAAGAATAACATGGAAAATAAACTGTGATTCTGACTTTTAATATAATAGACTGTAGTTAGTCTTACGAAGCATTAAGAGTAGATGTCGCAGTGCGATTTACCCACTGTGAATAATTACCGATATATTGGGTTTTATGTTCCATTATCTATGTTTTAATTTATAAATCAACAGGGGTAGAATGTAACAGTGTTTTGCGAATAGGATGAGCTGCACTGTTTTCTTAGCAAATAATGATCAACGATTTCATTTGAAACTCTTAATAATGCATAACCGTGTGTAAGAATATGTGAAGATGACACTTTACTAAAAGTAAACGATGTGACGACTTTCTCACGCTGACTAATATAACCATAAATATATGTTTGTTTTATATATATATAGTACCGATAACTTGTGTAAATTTATAACACTAACTTATTGTAACACTGCTAGTTTATTTTTATAACTGTCTCCATCTTTCATAATGTGAGTTCAGCAATTATTTTGTTCTAATACTTAGATCACTTTGTACCTTGTGAGGATATAACCATAGTAGTATGCTCTAGTACAACAGTTAGTCGTGTGTTTTCTCTTGTATGGTTTATGTGCTATTCATCATACGATGGAAAACGGTAGTCTAAACAGAGTGAGATTATCGTTATAAACCATGGGGAACGTAGGTATTGTGTATTATGTCGTAATTAATTGAATGAATAACATTGACTTAATTTAATTTCTTTGCCTATAATTGTAATCTGATGAGACTGTTGTCTTTTCTCGCTCTCTACGTCGGGTAAAGATGCCCATCTTCTCTTGCTTACAGTCTTTTTTCTTCACAAACAGTACGTAATTCACTAGCAAAGTGACATCAATATATTCTTATTCGCCATTCTCATTTGAAAACGTTGCTTACAGTATATGATCAAACTTAAAAAAAAATTGTAATCGTTTTTGGAATAATTTTGATGGGTTTTTTTTCTACTACATCTCTGGAAAGCAATAATGCGACACTTTAATAACTAACGATATTGTACTTCTCATAAGTTTCTCAATCGTCTGCATGTTGACAGCATGTTATGATAACTGATGTGCGACGCGACCTATTTCTGCGCTTTTTGGACTGCTGATGATTTGGATTCGTCGGCATCTCGCATAACATTGTGTAGTTAGATAATGGTGCGACTCTTCTGTCGTACGTAAAAACAAAGTACAAAATATTTTATGTATTGTAATTTTTATATGTACGATATAGGGAATAAATAGTGCAGGTAATAATTATTATAAAAATTCTTTTTAAGGATAAAACTGTAGACTGTATAAATATTATAAAGATTGTTTGTCATGTTTCCGTCGCAAACAGTTCTTAACTTGGCTAGGAGGAACACTAACGAACTCATCACTTCGTCCATTAATTTTAATATATAATTTTATTAGCGAACAGATGCCCAATAATGTACACTATTTATTCTTATTTGGATCCTTATGAAGGAACTTGATGTAAATAATTGTCTTCGTGAAACATAGCAGTACAGTATTTAGACTTGATATTAAAAAATATAAGAGATAAGTAACAAATGAGAATTATGAAAAATATGTATATTACGGTAAATTTGGTATTTACTGGTTTTCCTTTGTAACAAGGATGTGATAAACTTTTTGGCTAATTATGTTGAATCAAAAACACTGAAGACTTTATGACATCCTTGCAATCGCTGTTAAATGTCAATTACTAATATAAAGATGCTTTTAAAGATTTCTCAGTCTTCATAATCGTGAATTCAGCCGCAGAATCAAGTCGGTTTTTTCAGAAAAGTCATATTTTAATGCAGACTTAATACATATAACAAATCTAACGTGAGAAGTATAATATAGTTTTGCTTATTTTGTATTTTTTTAAAATAAATGTTCCACGTTATAGCACCCTCAATCAACAATAATTGAGAGTGTTATGACATTGAACATTGAGAATTATATTGCACATATGTCATTCTGTTCTCGAACATGTACTCATGTTCTGGATGGTAATATGAGGATGGAATGGCCATGTAAGGCGTGCCTTCTCTGGCCGGGGTTGTTGCTGGCGTGGGAGATGTTAGAATTTTAATATTTGTAAAAATAACATTTGATCTCAAGTGTGCAGCAAAAGTGAAAGTGAGAGCTAGACTGTTATAACGCAACAACCTCTACCAGATATGACCCGTTGCCGATTTCTAACGTTCGGTTTGATTTAGCAGAGCGTAAGGTTATAAAAATATTGTGATCATAATTATATTGTAGTTTTAAAAGCTAGGTTATAGAGATAATTGTATATTTTGTACATACTGAAAATAGTATTGTATCTTTACTTCCCTTTATCCAAACAACCCAGACTCCTGCGTGTTATGTACCTCCTACCTACCAATACTATTAAAAAAATATTACACAAAATCGTTTTTATTTTATATTTCTTGTGTTACATTTCCTGTTACAGATATATATCTGTAGTCAATGAATATTTTATATATAGTAGCATAGTTCATATATGGTACTAAATATACAGTGGTGGGCGCATAATTAGAAACACTACCAACGCACAGTGGGAACTCGCCTAAGAAAGCCATCTCATAAATAGTTTTTCTAAAACTCCGTGGATATGCATGTATAATACCTCAAATTGTAGCTAAAGAGTTACTCTATCATCTATACATATAAATAAAATTAGAGTGTCTGTTTGTAATATTGAAATAACCGTTTTTACTACAGGAATAATAATAAGCATATAAATACGGTACATACACCAAAATAATATTTTTTACAATTTTTGCCTGTCTGTCTGTCTGTCTGTTTACTCCGGCTAATCTCTGAAATGGCTGGACCGATTTTGACGGGCCTTTGTTTGGTAGGTAGCTGATGTAATAAGGAGTAACTTAGGCTACTTTAATTTAGAAAAATAAAGTTAAATTCCACGGGACGAAGTCGCGGGTACCCCTAGTTATAAATATTTAAATCTCTCAACTATTCATACTTCATAGAATAGAGCATCTAAAGTCAAGGAATGAAAAAGATACAAAAATAATTTTGTAACTTAAATTTGGTATAAGTTTATAGTATCAAAACAATATCAAGTGATATAGTGTGATACCATTTTATAATGCTTAGAATGTGTACATTACTACAAAATAGAAATATATTTAGTTTAGTAGAATATTATTTGACCAAAGATCCGTATATCGTTATATGTACTATTTTCTTTTCTCAAGCTTTCAGTTGGAGATTTGACGGTTGCCGAAGCTTGCTGAAGTTCTGAATTTGGTTTTATTTATTAAGAAATATAATGTAATTGGATGGCATAACATTTTTTTTTGCAGTTTAAAAAATAATATATTTGTTATTAATACCTATATTTAAAAAATCTAGTATAATATCATGTTGAGAAATTTTTTTTCTAAGTACGTATATTAAGTTTTTTTTCTTTATTTTATATTCTCTGTCTGGATACTTTTAGCTCAATTATTACTTTATATTTAATCTTTTATAAGTATTTCACGCAGAATATAGTTCCCATTCCCATACAGACCTATTCTATACCGCATAATGATAAATATTTTTTATCAAGTAATTTTGCACACGTGCACTATGCACTATTTTATACTTAATAATGATCATAGATCATTATTAAGTATAAAATAGTGCATTTCCATATGAAATATTACAAGTTCTTCATAAGCATTTGTCATTACTAAACAATTGTTCTCTCCGCAATGAGTGAATTCTTGTCTGGTACGCAGGTCTCTTATTGATTGAAAGTTATACAAATTATGTTGATTTTATCTCAAACTAATATATATATACGAAATAATTTTACCGAATCTTCAGATGCGAATATAGCAAAAATTATCGCAAGAATACTTGCGATACTTTTGCTATATTCGCATCCGAAAAGCAATTGCAATTGCAAAATAGCAATTAGCTGGATGGCATTTTCACTGTAAATCTAGAAAAAAATACATGCGAAACTGAACCTTCTACTGCGACAGGGAAAAGAGGAATCTTAGAATCTAAGTTTTGAAAAATGTCATGCCTGCCACAACAACAGAAAATAAAGATTTAAATTCAAATTCAAATTATTTATGTACAAAGAAGGTTCAGAGAAGAACTTGGATTAAAAGATAAACTGAAGCAAGTTAGTGGCAACACTAATGACGGTAATACAGCCAGAAGATTTTTCCAAAATTATCATTGTACATCAGAAATCACTGGCATAGAGCACTTGAGTGACTTTTAAGCTATCTTTATAAGAGTTTTTGTTTTTTACGCAAATACTTTTACTTATGACGTCTGCCGACGGCAGCTGGAATATATGTATATAAATATACCTATTTTGTTGTAAAAAAAACATTGGTTTGAGTGATTCAATTGATTATTTAATTACTAACTTTATTAAATCTTTAAAAACTACACAACATTTATTTGTGTCTAACAAATGACATATTAGATCAATTAAATCATACCAGCTTATATAATGTTGATGTAATTTTTTTAAACCACTATAATTTACATAGTACTACCAACAAAAATATTTGTATATATTTCCATCTACTAATTTGTATCGTTTAATATAACGATTATCTAAAATGTATTATGAAGTGAATGTATGAAAACGTAACATTATGACTATGATTGGACAAGTGACAACTGAATCTATGGCTAACAAACCTGTTCCTGCATGAGAGTTCTATCATAGCGATGGAACACTCACATGTGTAGTATTTAATAATAATATTTGAATCGTTTAAAAATAATAACTAAATTTAAATTTCACATTATGTTGCTACAATTAACATATTTTCATATACTATACTGTAATGGATATTAAAATATTTTATAATTGTAACGCACAATTTTTTTCAGAGCCATTATTAAGAGCCGGAATATTTTATTTTATAAAAGGCGGAATTTATGTTAACTACACTAGAAACTCTGTATCTAAAACCCTAATTCTAATATGTAAAATAGTTTTTAAAGCATCAAAATTTTGACGACAGGATTAACAATTCCTCTTCTTTAAACAGCAGCAATATTATAATTATTATTCTTTTAATTTTTTATTTTCAGTAACTATTATTGTGATTTATTGCTATAAGTTTACAAATTTATCTATAACAGCAAAAATCTAAAGATCTAAAAAAATCAGGAAATCGGAAGTATGGATTCTTTTTAACATCCCTGTTTCATCATAAGATCGGCAAGTTTAAAGATTCGAAGCCAACTAAATGACTCGGATTGCTGCGGTGGAGCGATCGCGGCCGAGGTACTGGCAGACTCGGCGCGGGACGGTGCTCGCTCTGCACCGCCAGCTGAGTGTGTAGGCGATTTCTTGTCACCCTTCTGGTTGTCTGGAGACTTGGTAATAGCTGGCGACGTCATTCTGAAATTATTACTCTTTATTGCACTTGTAACTTAAAATAGTAAGTACATGAATATTAAAATTAATGTGAGCAAGGGTGGCCTTATCTCTTGATCTCTTTCAGAGATAAGGCCGCTCGGCTGGAAGACCAGCCAACGTAATGCAGTGAATTTTTTACTAATTAGCGGGCAATGATAGTTTGCGAGTGAAAATACACGACAAACTATATAAGTAGAGCAGAATATTATAATATGGTTCATTGCCCTGTCTAGAAATACCTAAATAGACCGCCAACCGCTACGGACATAGATCTACTAGGATGATTTATATAATGTTAAAAAGTATTATAAAACCAAAATAGTCAAAATTTCCATTCTACTGAAAATTAGTATCGAAGAGAACAATTTGTGAATATTAGGTAGATGTAAGAGGTTATGTAATATTATATTATCTGTGATATTACTAAAAATGCTATCTTCATTTATATTCATAATAAAATTATAAAATCGATAGACTCTTAATGAAATTTCCGTGAATAGGTATAGATTGTACCATAGGGCGGACATAGGTATAAGAAGATAACTAACATTGTCATCAACAATCTATATACGTAATGTTCCGATGGTGGTGCGATATTTATTAGCAATATGAAATCTCATATTGTGTAGTTACCTTAGGTGCAGTGCCCTTAGTCACCAGTTTTTAACGCCAGTTTGTTCTCTACTCTCATATATTTATATATATAATAGGTAACTAACATTTTAACATGATTATACTAATGTGAACTCGAACATCTTGTAAATTATAAGTAGGTACTCTTGCTATAGCTTGCTATTTATTTTTGTTGTTAGTTTTGTGAATTACGGTTGCGTTGATAGTTCAATCAGAACCTGCGTCTTTAGGTTAAAAATTTCACATCATCAGAACATGATCGATAATGCTATTATGTATCTACCTTAAATTATTAATATTCTTATACTAAATTAAATAACATTACAATAGGTATTTATTATGTTCAGTTGCGTGTTTGTGTATATACTGTGTTAATTTATTAAAGTAATAATAT